TCAGTTCTCTGTTGTCACTTTTCTGTTAACGATGCTTCAGCCAAGTACAAAAGTCTGGTGGGCTGTAGGCTCGGACACACCAACCTGTGGAGGGACGAGTAAAGACCTGAGATCTATGGGACTTTCATCTGCAACTGTGCCATTAAACATGATTTCTGAGCGGCCCCCCAGACAGTTTACCGTGTCCTCTATCATGATTAGGACTTGCTGACATTCTCATAGATGACGTCGCTGGAAACCGATGACTGCTGTTTTTTCTTCTTACACATCAGCTGGACGCACTGGTGGATGAACACATACTGCTCCTGCAGGGCACATGAGAGACAGTATCGTCGCATTACCTGAGCTGGCGAACGTGACACGACCTGCATCTACACCAGCCCGCCACTAGGGGGGGTTAACATATACTCCTGCACAACAGGAATATTTTCTAGCAGTCAAATCCAAATGTAGACATGGTACCTGTGGTGTGAGGGGTGGGCAGGTGGGGGGGGGGGTCAGACTGCCTTTTTTTGTGTATGTGATTGGGAGGGAGCGTGTCCTTACCTCTGTCTGCACCATGCATAGCCTGTGTGCACGCATCTCTGCCACGACGCCCAGGATGTCGGCGTAGTCGTGCTCGCGTATGTGCTGCATGAGCCGGTCCAGGGCGATGAAGGTCCCCGTGCGGCCCACGCCGGCACTGCAGACGGGCACGTTCATTCAAAATTAAACACATACCCACCCCCCCCACCCCCCAGGCATTAAGTCTCTCACACTGGAATTAATCAAATTAAGCAATTTCTGAAAATTACAATTCTGTATATTTATTAATGTAGTTATTGTTAAAAAAATGCAGGACAGTAAATGCACTTGAATATTATAAAAGTTGCTGTGTATGATTTGAGACCAACTTCTTCTTACTGTGGAAATTAACCCCTCACCCCCCCGCCCCCCCAAAACACACAAAAACAATTGCAAGGGCGTAATTGTAGCTACAATTTAATTTAGTTATTCATCCCATTACATCCACCCCAGCGATGCTTTTTAAGGAATCGATTCAGCCTAAACACATTCTCCTGTAATACTCAGAGATGGCCAGTAGTGGGCAGCACTCTATTCCTAACACACCTGCTAGGCACAGTCAGAGGGGGGGAATCTACTAATTAGGAAAATCAGCATCACGGAGCAGCAAAATCCAGCTGGGAATAGCTGACTGATGATGGACAGTCTGGTCTGGCTGTATAATCCGACAGCCAGTTGCTATGTAATGCTCATAAGTTCCATGTAACTTGGAAGAATACAGCACATCAAATTTAGGGGAAGCAGGAAAGCTAATGGTAGCCTGATTCTTTAGCATGCTAACTACTGTGTTTTTTGTCTTAAAACCTGTAATCACTTAGCCAGCAGCCATAGCACCTTTAGTTCAGACTATATAATCCATCTAAAGCTAAGTAGGTTTTTACTTGGCCAGTACTTGGATGGGAGTCCAACTAGGAAAACTGGGTTGCTGCTGGAAGAGGTGTTGGTGTGACCACCAGGTTAACCCGTCCTGTGGTCAGTGTGGATCCCAATGTCCCAGTGTGGTGAGTGGTCCGGTGACAGGTCCTGACTCTCTGAGGTCATAAAAGATCCCTGGACATCTTTCGAAAGAGTAGGGGTGGTACCCCGATGTCCTGGTTAAATCTGCCCACTGTGGCCCTCAGATATGGCCTCCTAATCATTCCCTGTATCTAACCTGCCCCTTCACCACCTTAGCTACTGTGTGGTGAATGTACTGGCACAGAATGGCTGCTGTCGCATCATCCAGGAGCTACACAGTTTTTTTCCAAAAGACATTTAGACAACCAGTAGCTCAAATACAAAGAAATGCACACATAATGACATACACAGTAATAAAATAACACTCAGAGTGTCTCTATGAATGCAGTGGAAATGGTCAAAGTGATTGTCAGTGCAAGAGTCATAGTTGCTACAATACATAATATATGTAATGTGGATTTAGGAAATATACATTTGATTTTAATATTTCATGTTGTATATACCTTATATAATCTTTATACCATTAAATGGCATAAACAAATGCAGGGCAGTAAATGCACTTAAATATTATAAAAGTTATAAATGAAAAAAGCACTTTGGGTGCTTGAAAAAGTGCTATATAAATGTAACTTTCATTTAATCACCTCAAAGATATTAAATATAAAATGTCTTTTATGAAGGATTACAGTTAGAGAATTGCAGGTCGACCTGCCAAGTCCCTTCCACAGCCTGACCCAGCATCGCTGTGGAGTCTCTTCTCTTGCATCCTCCAAATGGTCTCACCTGCAGTGCACGACGATGGGGCCCCTGCTCTTGGCCGCCTGCTGCCGCACGATGTAGACGAACTGCAGGATACTCTCGATGGCGTTGACCGTGGGGACGCCATGGTCGGGCCACGAGGTGTAGTTCAGGTGTAGCACGTCCTGGGTCTCGTCCGCCTGCAGGGAGACGTGATTGGGGGTCAGAGCCGTATGGATGGAGACTTTTGTGGGGAGAGCCGGAGAGGAGACAGAGCAGCCCTTGTACGAAATACAGCTCACTGGAATTTTCTTAAATGCCCGCAGTTTCAAAACAGTGACTTTTGGATAGTGTCAACTTCGACTTCAATTCTAGTTTAGTCTGAACAAGTCAGATAATTTTACTGTAGTTTTAGATGCATTTATCTTAACTTTGCGATACTTTGTAGTCCTTTCAAACTTGCTCCGCATCTCTGCCTGATCCGTGCTGCATCAAACAGCTGCATGCAATATGTTTTCAAACGCATGCGGCAACTGCATCCATCGGCGCCCATGAATGAATGTAGCATGTCTAGAGGAGTCTGCACGCACGACCGAGAATACTGGGTCCTGTCTTCTTATGTTTGGCTCTCATTCATCAACATTAGTTTGCATGTATCAGGAGGAAAAAGGTGCTGGGGCTCTCAGCGGTGGTTGCTATGGAAACAAGCCACTGAGGGACCGCTGGCACCCATTTTTTAAATACCTGGGCTTCTGCGGATGCCCATGAGGCTGCTGCCGTTGAAAGGACGTAAACACGGCCGTATTACCATTTTGATAGCTTTTGGGACAGACTGTCCCCCCAATTACGTGACTGAAATATAGACTCAGAGGAAGCAAGCGCGGCTGGTGACGAGAAGGTGACATACGTAGCTCAGTCTGAAGTTCCTCATGGTCCATTCTGGGGCCTCCTTCTCAGACAGCATCTCCACCGTGATCTCCCCGTAGGCCACCGGCTCATCCGTGAAGGGCCAATAGTGGTCACACTTCACCTGTGGTCATGTGACATAACTGTCAGTTAATTGACCCGTTTGGGGTATTTCCATAGGGTATTCAAGTGAATCAGGAATGAGTCTAGGGGCATCACTTGGGTTGAGTATAGTGGAGTTTACATTGCCTAGCTAGTGACCAAATTCAAAATCAATGTATTTTTTTCGGTCTGTGATTTACCCTTCGTGCATCCCATTTACCCGTTTGCCATGCCATCAGAGCAATATAAAGGCAATGTTTTATCTACTGAAACGCAGTACTTTTATACTTATAAAGCTTTAAAACTATATAAATATTTGAAGTAGGCCTACTGACAATAGTTTGGATTGAATTATCCAGCATATGAAAGAAAGAATTAAAAAAAAATAAATAAAAAATTCGACCCCAGTACAGTGAGCCCAAAAAGTTAAATGGAAGTGAGCCTTTAAAGTCTGTTCCGCGGACGAGCACATCTGGGCTAAAGAGCAGGCACTGGCGTTGCCCACCCTACGGCGCTCGCTGCACTGCGTCAGCATGACGACTACTCGCGACTTCTGCTGCAGCACCATCGTCCAGAAGTCATTGCGGGTTTCGGGAAGGGGGCCTTGTGTGGCGATGTACTCCCGCGCCAACTTGTAGCCCTGCAGATGGGAAAATTACGCAAATTACAACCGCTTTCCATTTAGCGACTACCTCGCTTAGCGACCATTCGTAAATATGACGGTAATAAAAACTTCATTTTCCGACCAATGCGCACATTTACGACCAACGTCTGACACCAAATGCATGCCGGAGTGAGAGAGACTTCAGAAGCAGAATGTATAAAATATTAAAAATGACCACTTCACGAAGGATAAAGGAAGTCGAGTATCGAAGGCTGAAGTAAAGTCGTAAGCACAGTCACGCATGGTCACGCCTAGGCTACCGTGATTTTCATTTAGTGACCATTTCGCTTGACAACCAGGCTGTTGGAATGGAATTTGGTAGCTAAATGAGGAGTGGCTATATGCTTCTCCATGAGAATTAGGCAGTCATAAGCCCCTTTAAGAGATCGGGTAGAGTAACAGTCATCATGGACACTGCAGACAGTCCACTGCTGGTCTTTGGACTTGATCATAGGGGCTGAATCTCCTTCATATAGGGTAAGAACGAATGACACTCACAGGAATGTAATTGGCATTGACGTAGTCGGCTCCTTCATCGTTGTGCATGGAGATCAGCTTCACGCGGCTGAAATCATCTGCGGGGAGGTCACCGATGGTCAGTTGGAAAGGTGCATGAGCACCAACCCACAAAAGTCTACTAGGAAAGTTAAATGCTACAGTGAGCAGCATTGTAACCCACAAGGAAGGATGTTGGTGTAGCGGTTCTTTGCTCTGTTGACGGGGAGATCAGCTGCATCATGGGATAAGTCCAGACCCACCGTCTTCAGCTCCTGTATTGGGAGCACAGAAGCAGTTTTGTGGTGGGCATTATTCATCTTTGAACAGACAGCAAAATGCCGTCTTACAAACAAAACAGTAATTTATTTAACTGAATTCTTCATTTAGTTCCACTGAAAGCACACAATGCACCACACTGATGCTAACTGTCCCTGCCAGCAAATTGGTGGCACCTCACCTCAAACTGCAGAGAAAATTTGTAAGCCGAGTCTTTGCTCATGTCCTTGAGGTAGTCTTCGAAATCATCCAGCTGGACAGGGCTGCAGAGAGATTAAACACGTCCTGAGATCTCTATGACAAGGCATTATCAGATGGAGCAGCAACGTTCTGTCAGTATTAGCAGTATCTTTGGTCACTATAGCAGGGGATTTCATTTACTTCGTCTTGAAGATGGACTTTATGGCTATTAGGTGTTCGGCATGCAGGCTTGTGTTATTCTTCATGTGACTTCATTTGCCGAGGATTATTCAAAATCGACCGTGCTAAATCACATCTGACTGCAGACAATCTGCAGCAAAACTACTGTGCAAAAACGAATAACGCTTTCAAAGTGACTTCACTTGATCAGTGTCGTAAGTTCAGAATATTAACAAAGACTGAATCATGCCTGCAGTACATTACAGAAAAGTTTCCACCTTTCCATTCAGAATGGGAGAAATACTGTTTGATTGCTGGTTTTGATCTACAGATGGGCAAATTAATCTTTAACTTCTCAGTAGCCCCAAGCAGAGGCCTGGCCTTGCTCAATCCTGTCTTCATGCACAGAATAACCATCACTGAACAGCTGCATTCACACAGGCCAGCTCCAGATCAGGGTAATGGTGCAGATTCTCAAACATTTTCCCCGAGTGTGACAAACAGGCTGGGGTTTATTCACGGTTCACTGTAGGGCTTTTGGATTATGCAGGCTGCCGTTTAACCCTTTCCGCGTAATCTGCAGCAAAAGCAAGGAGCTGAGATGCCTCAATGATCAGATGAGCTTGATTTATTGTACTGGGGCACTGCACTCCCGCTTATATACTAACTGGGGGATTAGGGGTAAAACCTTCAACATCCTATCGGTGGTCTTACTCTAAGACCCCACCTCCAACACAAACCAATCAAAAAACTCAATCAGCAAGTGGATTTAAATACAGGTAAATTTATGAAGACCGTATCAGTAAATGGCACTCTTCAGATCCCTGTAATATTCACTATTTAGGAGAACAGTTTTAGATTATACCTGTGACATCCTTTAGTCCTATTCAGGGCAATATAAAGCGCTTTCTGATCAATGCTACTTGGCTTTACCGCTTACCTCATCATGCATTATTTGTTCAGGAATAAACGCCTGGTTTCTTGTTTGCCAGTACTGTGATTCATCTGGATGTTGTACGCGTAATAGTTGTTTGTTTAACATGGATGGACAGCTTTGACTGCACACAGCTCTCATAAACGGTGTTGTGAATATCAATAAACCGCGCACATATGCAGTTAATCTTGCGCGTTTACCTTGTTAGCTTCCTTTTCTTTAAGGCAGTCTTGCCCCTAAAAAAAGATAACATTTACTGAAAACATTCTACATAAAACATAGCAAGGCACAGTGATGTAGCGCCAACCCATAATATTTTGACCTTAGTGGTCAACTGGTTAACTGGTCAAACTTAAATCTATATTCATGTAGAATCCAAAGATGCATTCAGTTGTGTTTACATACCCATCAGGTAGTCTGTGGAATAAAATTAACTGGAATTGCCCAGACAGGTTGTTCAGAAGTGTCTGATTATGATTATTACATGCATGTCACACGCATGGAGTCAATCAGGCTTAAATGGACAGTTATGGATCGGCGACTGGCACCAAGAACTGTATGACCTACAAACACAACCACAATATAATGTGTAACACAGGATATGAAATGCCCTTGACATGCACAGTAAGTGTATTAAATGTACATAACATGCAGATTTGACTCAGACTCCACTGTATGTCACATGTTTCTCTCCAAACACGTGTGTTGTGTCACGTGACTTTTTCCAACATGGCCGCCCGGCCTTTAGAGTGCTGTTGGCTGCTGCTTCGCGCCCAGGCCGCTAATGCAGCTGTTACAGACATGGACTCTGCTGCCAGTTCGAGTACCAGGAGGGGCCTGTGGTAACATCCCTCAACGAGGTGCCCAACCCTAACAAATAACACAGCTAGCCATGCTAACTGGTACGTATAAATTTGCCAATAAGGCAAATAACGGCAAAGGTATCAAGGTAAAAATGAGCCCCCACGATGCAGCAGTCGTCTCACTTACTTACCAAGGATTAATATAAAAAGCCAAAAGGTAATCAGTCCACAGGCAGGACGGCAGGAGTGTTAGGAAGGCAAAGAGACTCCTTCGCCTGGACAGGCAGGGACAGACATGGGGGAACAGGCAGGAACAACACAACACGGCACTCGGTTAGTGAGGCAGACGCTGCCCGGGGATACAGTCCCATCAGCGGCCGCTCGCTCCCAGAGAGCCGGCGGCGGTCCGGTTTCGGCTTTTCTTCCCTTAACATTAAATGGTGTTGAACCAAAATGGCTGAACACGCATGACAGTATTCACACCGCAAAACGCATTTTCCCGTTTACTTTCTCAGTTGACTGGCACTAATGAGTTTGTGCTTAGCTTTGCCGGCAATAAACGGGTTAGCTCAGCCGAGCGGCGTGATTTAACTGCGGAGTATAAACCACTTCTCGCTCGTAATGGCTTAATGCTCAGGAAAAACGCTGGAGCCTTTTAATTAATACACCCCATGCGAAGCGGTCCCGCTGATGAGAGGCGACATACAGCAAAATGACTTTGAGTTAATTAAATCATGTCGGTAACAAAAGCGCTGGCCTTCTGTGAGAAATGGCAGATGACGGATAAATAAATAAAAATGTCGCAGTTAAATAATTCTGAACAACATTTATTGTCGTCAAAGTTAACGTTAAAGACTATTTTAAAAGCAAAAAGAAAACCAACATGAAGTAATGCAGTTATAATTCAGGCATTAATGTGCCTTTCAAGCTGATAAACATCTGAAAATTAATTACAGCAATACACTACATCATATGAGCTCACTATTAACGTTTTTCATACACTCTACATAAAATGGTGATTAGGGTACTTATCTTCCTATAGACCATATAAAATTGTAGCTTATGGACATATTTCAGATATTTACAGTCTAGGAAAATAATAGCATACTCTTCTTATGATAAGTATCCCAAAGGCTATATTAAACCCAATTATCTATGCTCTTGTACTGTGAGAACTTGGCCTTCATGATAAATTTAAGTGAAGCGGGTTTAAATTAAGATTTGCTGCTGAAGGACTTCGTAACGTATTAAGTTATTTCGAAGTTGGATGATACATACAGAGTGAACAATTGTAAAGAACAGAAATTTAGAATTCAGGACTGCATTTTAAACTCTCAACCTATAAGAATCTTGAAAATTACTTTTCAGCTCTCAAGTCCTACTGATTCACATTTGCAATCTCAAGTGGGTTTTCAGTTAAATACAACTTTTAAAATACATAAAATTACACCTGGAGCACTAAATAAACTCTACGTCATAAAATAAACCAATGTGAGAAATAGTTCAAACTGTCAGGCTAAATTTAACCAAAACAGGACAATGTCATCATCTAAAAAACAAATGAAAAACCTGACCAGCAGCTTAAAAGTGACCAGCAGGTTCCTACCAGTTGTACGGAAGCTTCCCATCCCGCTCGAATGATGCGAAGTTGACGAAGGTTCCGGCACCACATTCCCTTCAGTTACAGGGGCAGATAAAAACACTCTACATGTGAACTGGTTCCGAAGCTTCACATTTACCGACAAGATACTAATGCAAAATATGCAGTGATATTGGTTCACACCTCACTCGCAGCTTTTAAATGTAATCAGCTAATCTTGAAGAAGGATGATTTAATAAATAATTAAATTTTACTTAATCTATAGCTCATTAATACTAATAGTAATTGCAGGCCATGGATAATACAGATGTTTAATGTAAGAAGATTTATACTTCTATTTAACCGTTATTTAAAAAAAATCTGCATTTTGATATCCTGGTTTAATCCTGGTTCTGCTGGCTGAAGGCTACACTGAGAGGCAGGTTGCTTCCAGGCTCAAAGTTCCTAAGACAGCAGTACACAAGAACGAGATGAAGCAGGAGACACTGGGAATGAGCAAAAACCAGCCAGGAAGAGGGTGGAAATGACTTTCTAATGGCAGAGATGACTGTCAACTTATCAGGCAGTGCCTCAACAAAGAGAGGATGACCTCAAGTGACCTTCAAGAAGAATGGGAAACATTAAGTGGTGTGAAGTGCTCTGCTAGGACAATTCATAACCTGGCTTCTAGAAGCAGGACTGAAGACCCATAAAGCAAGGAAGAAGCTCTTCCTAAATGAGAAGCAGGTAAGAGCCAGGCTGCAGCAAAAAAAAAAAAATGTATATTTTACACAGGGGCATAAATTAAGAAATGAGTGAAACTAAAAACGTTGCTATGGTCTCCATTTTTTCCAGAGCTGTGTATAGTTTGCTTTACATTTTATTCATTGCTTGTTAGTTAATTTATCCCTTTGTTTACGCACCCATCGCAGTGTTGTGTTAAATGTAATGGCCTTTATCCGCCTCATTATACTCCTTAGGAGCTTGTTAAGACCTGCTTTTAAAATGCCAGGCGACTTGAGATTAATGACCTTGTAATGCACTGTAGACAGGACTTCTTGTATGTCTATATGCCAGTAATGGAGAGGATCACCGGCCGTTACCTGGCCATCTGAAGGTGCTTCTTTCGGAGCACGAGGAAGATGAGGCCCAGCAGACTGAGAAGGAGGACACTCAGGACGGCCAGGGCAGAGATGGCCGCCACACTGGGGTTCATCTCCCGCACTGCAGCCACACGAAACACAAACAAGCACCGTCACCAGCTAAGCCATGCCTGATCACTGTCATCAGGGGCCCTGATCCCATGTAAAAGTAAGTGTAAACTTCATGAGAAACAAGACATTACTATTATTTAGCACGGTGTTTTCCAATCCGGTCCTCGGGGGCCCATAACTGGCCCACATTTTTGCTCCCATCTAGCTCACTGCCAGACAGTCCACATTTTTGCTCCCTCTGAGCTCCCTGCCAGAGAGTCCACATTTTTGCTCCTACTGGGATGGAGCAAAAACATGGACTGTCTGTGGGTGCTAGAGCACCGGACTGAGAAGCACTGATGTAGCAGATACTTATATCCAAAGCAATGCATAATTGAGAAGGCAGGGTCAGAAGATTCCTGGAGTAACTGAGGGGTAAGAGCCCCAGGGGCCCAATGGTGAGATCACTCTGCCGGCCCTGGGATTTGAACGAGCAACCTTTCAATCACAGGCGAACCATCCTAACCCTCTGACCCACACCTTCCCAAAAAGAGACCCTATTGTGACACATTTATTGGATGGATGTCTATTAGGACTGGACACTCCTACAGAAACAGTGTGGAGCTGAGCTCCACATCGGTGACCCGGCAAGCAGAAAGCAGCCCGAGGTGGACATACGCGCAAGTCCAGCTCTGCATCCGACCTACCTGTGGTAGACACGCCAATGTAGGTGGGCTCGCTAGGGGTGCTGTAACTGTAGCTGGTCACGCTGCAGTTGTAGGCAGTGGCAGGCTGCAGGCCGGACATAGTGGCGATGTGAGAGTGGACCATCTGCGGTTCCCTCGCCTGCAAGTGGGCCGTGGCAAGATTATTATGCATCTCAAAACTACAGCAGCATGTCAGAATGTGCCTGATTCTCGTCATTTAATTTCCACTGGATTTTAAAGATGACCTAACATACCCATCTTCATTAAAACTTCACTCTGACAGAAATATTCAATACTATTCGCTGCAAACAGCTTTCGGATTAGTTTATGTACACACAGAGGGTATATCGTTCACATGACAGCCACTTAATACCTCAAGAAGCACAATCACTTGCTAAAATCACCCCGGACGATAATGACTGACTGTCCTGCTTGTCCCTGGGGTGAACCGGATTTTAAATGCTGCTAAAAGTAAAAACATCAAATCTGTTTTTCACAGCTGCTTGGGTGCTCTTGTTTTATTGTTGCATCCAGGCGACAATTAGAGACAACAGTCCCCAAACAATAACCAATAGATGGGCTGCCAGAGTTTCATTTAGTGTCCCTTTGGCACAAACCTTTTGATAGATTCTGAGGAAACAAATGCAATCAATAAAGGTTGGTGTGGGTAGGGCAGGAAACTCGGTTTTTGATATAAAATCACATCTTACGCCAAATTAGAAAATATAACTTCTCATATATCCTTTATCCAGTGCATGTGTGTCAGTGCAAACATCTACTTCTATTTCTTAGTCTGCAACAGCAGCCCCAGTAAATCCAGTTTGAAAGTTTAATTAGCCATTTGTAGCTGCCGGTAAACAGCAATCAATCCCCTGATGGACCACGTGATAATGATTAGTTGTCAGACATTTGCTCCCCAGCAAACAACAGGTTCTCCAGACCAGATAAACTGAGACAGGGTATTATCTCAAAAGCAAGGCTGACCAAGATTTTCAATCAAAAGTCCAGACATGAAAAACAACGTGCCGCTCCTGCCACAAAAATGACACTTTGTTTTTTAAAACTAAATTTAAAAAACCAGAATCATTGTCCCTTTTGAAATAAGGCTGCAACAACTAATCGATAACGTCGGTAGAAATCGGTAATAAAAATATGTGTTTGTCACAGATGTGTTTCTCTAAAATGTGTTCAAGTTTGATCAAGCTTTGATCTTTGTTTCTATGCCATTCTGCCACTTTAAACAGAGGATCTCTGCACTGTGTGCAGTTCTGATTAGAACTGTGACTTGATGGCTTTTAAATGAAGCATTTGCATGTTCCTTTAAAACCTGTGTTTTGGCCCAATAAATCGATTAACTGAGTCAAATATCAAGATAATCGATTTCTGCAGCCCAACTCTGATATTGCAGATAGGGCTACCAACGCGCAGCGACGAAGCCAGCAAAGTATCACTACCCGGTTTATCCAAAGCAACACTATGGATAATGGTACTCAATGTGAAGCCATTAGGGAGAAAATCAATCTCACTTTAAGATCTTTTCCTGGAGCAGCTGGCCTGCAGTGGACCTGGTAGTAATCCACCACGCCCTCCTCAACCCAGATGAGGGTCACAGAAGTGTGGGTGCTGTTCACTGCGTGGACAGACCTGGGGGGGGCAGGCCCTGTCAAAACAAATCAAAAATGAAATAAAACAACTCAATAAATAATACATTTTACCACCTTGCCCTTGGCATGCAGAATTGTAACATTTATTAAAGTTGCTCGCTCAGTAGATTCGGGGGGACAAAATTGGTAGCAAAAAAATTTTGGAGGGAGTTAAAAATTTTTATGAGCCTGTTATACACAGTGATAGACAGCTCTCCTGTTTGACTCGGACACTGCTCTGTTTTTCTTAGAGAAATACACAGCTAGCACCGCGGGCACCAAAGGGCAGCCCGGCGCTCCACTCGTCACACAGCCAGATTTAACAGCCCTGTGCCCTCCCCAGGACGGCCACACTGACCCAGTTTGATGATGTGTGGCCGGGAGGTGTTCCTGCTGCGTTCTGTGCAGGCGCTCACTGTCAAGTTGTAGATGTCCCCGGGGGGGATGGCCAGAGCTGCCTTCATGGACATGCGGGTCACCTTCAGTTAGGGGGGGGGGGGGGGGGGGGGGGGGGCGAGGGAGATTCCCAGTCATTCATTCTACTACCAAGCCTCAAATCACCTTCAAACCACCAATGCATGCTTCCTGAGAACAACCTTTTCTGTATACAGAGATTGTGCAAACGTTCAATTATAAACAGATCATGGAGCTCTAATTAAAAGCATTAAAAATGTTAAGGACAACAAATGCTGCGCAGATCAAGGCACGCTTGCTGACATGAAATATTTCAGACGCTTTGGTTTTCCTTCCAGAAAATTCTATGTGGTCTCTCTCAGGTTGTTCCTGCTAACAACACAGCCGTCGTAAGACGACTCTGAGAAGCGTGTATTTGCTGAGCCGCATCCGTGAGTTCAGGCAGAGCCTTGGAAGCGAGGGATCAATGATCAGCTACGTTAAACCGGGGATGGAGGGGGGGCAAGGGGGGGGGGGGACTCACATCGGCAGAAATACGCTTCTTGAGGCTCTTCTTGCCTTCGGCCACCACCTGCCAGTGCAACACGCGGGAGTGTGACAGGTCTGTGAAGATGTCCCCGTAGGTCCAACGCACATACAGGAGGCCATTGGAATACTCCACCGATGAAATGTGGGGGGCCTCAGGAGCTTGGGGAGGGGGGGCAATCAAAAAAGGAAATGGAATGGTTCAGAATATGACAAATTCTCAATCTTCTCCGTGACGAGCAGTCAGTCTAAAGAGCCTTCAGAGATTACAGCTTAACCGCAGCTAAGACTCATTATCAAAAAACCCATGAAAGCGAAAACCATGAGCTCATCCAAAACTTTAACGGTCTAATAATATACTCTATTATATTAATTAATATAGTAATTACTCTGAAGTAATTATTATATTACTTTGACCTGAAATGCAGACCAGAGCTGTTAGAGTATAATTATTTGGCAGAGAGATGTGAGAGAAGTTGTAAGTAACCCAAAATAATATCTGGCCAAGTGGGACCAGGTAGCGTCCCCACAAGGTGGGAAATTTTGTAAGGACATTGCATTCTGGGCATGTAGAGAATGGGATTATAACTACATCTGGCCTGCAGGTGGAGTTACCTGTGATGAAGCTCACAGTAGAGGCATCACAGCAGCGGAGAGCTGGCTCGCCCCAGGTCACCATGGTAACACGGAAGTTGTAGTACCAAGCCGGCAGCAAGTCAGTCACCCTCTACCGGGAAGAAGTCATGAAGCAAGTGGTTAAGTGTCCATCCCAAACTGTCGAATGAGCAGCTGTTTGAGCAATAAGAGTGCTTTGCTGGTCAAGCTTTCACAATTCAGGCGTTGCCATTGGCTGGCTGTCTCCCTCTTGGGAATGCCAGGGCTCCTCTATTGGCTGTCAGCCACAGTGGGGCGGAAGGAGCGCCCTCGAATGGAACAGATGGCTTAACAAGTCATCCTGTGTCGATATGAACACGCGGCGGGAACAGAAGCGACACGCCAGCCCAGGGAACTGGAAACCATTTGGCGCTTTTATCTGGGGGAAACTGATGAGCGTAATGATGTACAAATTCCGTACAGCTGAGGTATTCTACTAGAGCAAGTCAGCCAAGGCAATTACCAGGATGTTCCAGTGTCTTCCGGTTCAGAATCCAGAGCTCATATCCGAAGGGTTATAAGATATATACCATATAAAAATCACTCTAGGGGACCAGTTGCATTCTGGGATGCACGGGGATGGTAAATGATGAGCATTACCACAGAGGCTGTTAGTGATGCCGTGGCCGCGACCTCGTAGTAGGTAGTCCACCCAGATGTCAGGGTGACAGGGTTGAAGAAGAAGGTCTCTAGGATGTACTTGCGGAAGGCCACGTTGTACAGCCGCTGCCAGGTGAGAATGATCGCAGAGGGACTGAGCGGATAGACGACCAGGTCCCGTACTCCCGTCGGCTCTACGAGACAGCGGAAGCCTCAGAGTCTCAGTAACGCCACCGAGATCTAAGGGGCTGAAGACTCACACTGACTTCCTATCAAATTCTAGTTACTCTGAGGTCACAGTGCAAGGGATTATGGGAGAAAATCTGAAACATTAATGTGTGCAACGTGGATGTCTTACATACAATTTAAAACACTTGGTATTTTATAAAACAATCATATCTACAGCAAATGTTAAATGTAAATAATTAGGATATGTCCTTTAATATTATTTTAACAATAAAAATAAAGGATCATTGATGACTTTGGGGCATGCCTACTAACAGCAAGGAAGAAGTTAGCAACTCACCAATTCCAATGATGATGGGGTCAGAGGGGGGGCTCGCCAATGGGCCATTTGTGTGGTACACCACCACCCTGTACTGCGCCCCCGGAGTCAAATTGGTGATGATATCACTAGTAGAGTTTTCCTGTGAACAGCAGTGCAGCAGCATGCTCAGTGAACCACTAATCGCTAACTTCTCTTAAGTAATCTGTCCCCCACCGTTTTATAGAGGTTAGTAAGATATTTACGTGCTAGAACACCACGGCTAAATTGAATTAAGCCTAATGTTCTGCAATGAATACAGAAAATACATATTTATCGGCCGTGGAACACAGAGGGGCTTTGACAGAGGCTATGGTCAGTGGCAGGATGCCCAGTGTGTCCAGAAAAGCCAAGGGTGACATCATCGTCAGAGGACGGGCTTTAACACTGATAGCTGAAATGAGAGGCACCCTGCTGGCATTTCACTCGCAGCTCATCTATCTTTGCCACGGCGCTGCCGTGCAATTGCTCGGGTCCCTGATTATCGGGCAAACCGGCGTCCTCAGAGGACATTACACATCCCCGAAGCCCCGCGGTCAGACGGCGGTGAAAAGAAATGTCTGACGTTAGCCGTTCCCAGCTGGAAGCCCCCTTCTGTCATGAAAACCCAGAATGCAATGGGTCACCGTGACCCTGTGCTGGGTAAGCAGCTATGGAGGGCAGATAGATGCAAAACCAGCACATACGAAAAAGCGTACTTCCGTTAACACACCATGGAGACAGCTAATGGTTTTACCTTCATGACCATATTACAGAAACAAACCACTTTTCTTTTTTTAAATTAACATCTTATAAATATTAGGGAAATAAAAATATAAACATATAATGTGTTTTTCACAGTGATATAGTCATTAAACACAAAGGTGAGCATGTCGTATCTTTAAAAGGCTATTATCCTACATTTCTTAATGAATAAATAAAATAACTTTGCTCACACGTCATAGAAACTATATTAATGATTATAGAGATGGTTCATAAACTTCTGGACACTTTGGAGAGACTTAATCTAGCACATCATTTTTGGGACATAAAATGTGAAAAATCTTTGATGGGATTTCCTCTTGACTGTAGTGTAATCCCATAGATAGATTAGATAGATACTTTATTAATCCCAAAGGAAATTTAGGAAGCGCACACTCTTTTCACCATATAACCCTCTCATGGATGCCTCCGGAACATTAACGGTAATGAAAGGCCCACCTCGGCGCAGTATGTGGTCTCTGTCCGCTGGCTGATGGTAGGTTTGAGGCACGTCAGTGATAGCACGGCCACCAGGCTTCCGTTGTGGTGGGAAGTGCTGGGGGACCAGGACACAGCCGCTGTGGTAGGGTTTAGCAGCCGCACGCTAACCGCCTGGGGTCGCTCCGTAGGCTGCTCAAACCACTCGCCGCTGTGACCTGCGACAAGCCAACCAGCCAATCAGACTGACACATAGTTACTCCATAACCACGTGCTAGTAACCAGTAACGAACATCAATGCCTTGTTTCCACCAACACAGAGCTGGTGCTGGTGCTGGGTTGGTTCTCGCTTGATGCCTTTTGAGAACCCGCCCGGAATGGACGGAATGGAAAAGTTATGTAGGCAGACGTGAGAGCAAAGTAAGGGTTCATATGTATTCCGTTTTTTGGATTTATTTTGATCTATTTCGGATTTTAAGTTTTTATAAGCTGCCAAACCGAAAAAAGAAAGTATTCAGAGTACGACTCGTCTTTGTTGCCTGTATCCACTTTTGTCTCCATAAAGGCTCCCCGTCTGTACGTGTGAGTTTATTCTCACTCGCTGTTTTACTGCTGTCCTTTTAAGGATCGTTACTGCTAAAAACTGAACTTTGCTGTCCACCTGAACACCACAATATTTTATTTATTTGACCTGCAACATGTTTATAATTTATTATTGAATCTGGTCAGCGAATCAATTGTTCGTTTTCCACAGAACAAGAAAACAAACAAACAAAAAAATGTAACGTTATTCTGGTAAAAAGCGGCAAGTTGTTTCACTGCTGGCAACATTAGACAAAACTGTATCGGATATGAATTGAATTTTCCAGGTATGCGGAAGGTTTGGATGCGATAACCCATCACACTTTCGCTGACATTATGGTTCTGAATTCTGAGACCAGCTTTTTTGTGGTGCTGTGTTGGAGCTGTTTTTTCTGGCCCAGGGCCAGTTTTCTTGTGGTGGAAATGCACGGAACTAGTTCCGGATTGGGAAAATGTCCGGTTCTGGTGGAAACGAGGCACAAGTCCTATCATCCCACATGGCTTGCTCCTAGGTCACTTTTAAAATGATACGTAATCCAGTACTACTTAAAACTCCTATCTAGTACCTTTATAAACCTCAGTACTCAAAACAAGAAGCACAAGAAAGGAACAGAGAGTGGCTCACTGAGGTAGAATGTGATACTAGTGTCCCTAGTGCTCTCTCTGGGGTCGCAGTCTCCAGACGAGCTGAGGGTGGTGACCAGCACCCTGTAGGTGCCCGGCTCCGTCAGCTCCGTGAAAAATTCATGAGTGTTTTCATCCATGGTGGTCATCTCCGTGGAGTTACCTGTTAAAACATTTAGACTATGTTCACTTCAGTTGAAGTTCTCTACAAAAGCATCAATTATGTATTATCTAAGAAACTTTTATCTAACTTATATTCTCATCCATTATAGAGCACACTCTACCAGAGTGTTTACTAAAAATGTTGGCATGTTCTATGAGACCTTTCCCTACAGTTTGTTTCATAAACATCAGGGGTCTGCAGACCGGGGCCTGCACATGTAGGTTTGGTATTTTCTGATCTCCAGTAGACTCACCATCTTTATAGATGTAAATTTTGAAACCGTCAAATGCAGTGGGAGGACGGGGGGGCAGCCATCGCAGCTCAAGCAGCATGGGGGGCCCTCTGGGAGGGAGTGAAGTGGAAGTCGGAAACAGGGCCGGGCCCCCGGCAGACCCCAGCTCAGGGGAGTCCTCATACTCTGAAAATGGTGCATTCACAGAATCCTGCCCTTCCTGCTCTGCGGGGGCAGTGCTTGTAGTGGAGTCTGGCCAATAGGGCTGGGTGCTATTGTCATCCTCTGTGCCATTGACAGAGAAGCCATCCATGGAGCCGTTAAGGCTTCGGACAGGGTCCACGGGTCCACGAGGGTCAGGATATTCCGTGGACTCAACCTCTTCCTCCAGAGTCCCTGCCTGTTCCTGTTTCCCCATTAAGGGGACATTTCGCCTACTCCGTCTCAGTAGCCAGTCATGGATCCCCGTTAACTGAGGCCTATCTCTGAGCTGAGTGATCTTCAGGGAAACATTGAGGGGAGGGTTTGGCACTGTGGGAGGAAACAGACATGGTATAGGGCTGTGGAGATTTTTTAAAATGAGCAGAGATACAAAAAAGCCTTGAAACTCTACAAGACACCATTCAGACCACCTGCTTCACTGCATCTCTGAGCGACAAGACAAAATAGGTCCAATTTCATGGACACTAAAAGGCGATGATGTGGATTTTGACATACTACTCGACTTCAAAAATCAACAATGATTGTCACATATGTAAAAAAGCATTAAAACTACTTAAAACATGGCATATGCATGAAAATAAGCTGACAAAGCAGTGGCAAGGAAGCCATCAGTTATGCAGAGTGGGTGGAAAGCTGAACTTTGGGCTAATTCCGCACCTGAGGGGACAGTCTAACCTACCCGTTCTGTGCTGTGTGGGCTGGTGGATTACTCCGCTGTGCCGGACTACAGCACTCTTATTGATGGTGGCTTCTGACACCAGTTGGAATGTGATGTTGGTGTAGCAGGTCCCTGGCAACCAGTGCTTGAAGACGGTTTTCCCCTTGGTAAAATCTGAACAAATAAAAGGGAAATGACACCAAGCTCACTCATAAAAGAATGCATATATAGCGTACTGTCACAGAGTTAAATAGCACAAAGCCATTTAATGTCGCATCAAGACGGCTTTGAGACCAAAACCACTTGCTATGCTATACTATGCATAGCTATGCTAAATTAAACAACACTGCCAGGAAGTACGTTAATTATTCCTCCGAGGCATCGTGCCAACTGCAGCCCAAGGCAGCTCTACCTTTATACAGGATCCACCGATGCTCCTGTCTCTCCAGGTAACTGATGTTCACCCTGGTGAAAATGTTGTTCTCTGCATATTTCATCTCAAAAACGATGCCCGTTTCCGGAGAAGGCTTGTAGTCATGGATGAGCACGCTGTCCACTGGCAGAGGCCCTGGAAATTAAATTAGTCTTACTTCCAGCCAAGAAGTTTGTTATGTAGAATCACAGCAGGTCCTCAAAACACACCAAAAATGAGTTGCCAGAGGAGTAATGAAGGCAAAGGTAACACAAGTGCACCTAGAAAAGGCAAGTTGGCTGTAGCCAACACGAGGAATATGGCTAACAATGAATAGGAATCAATGACGTTGATAATGATAATGGGCAATAAAAAGGTCAACAATGAATTGTGTCAGTGATTACTAGCAGTTTTGCGGTTTACTGTGTAAACTGCATATAAGATCCTCACCACCTAGTGATGTTAACGTTGGTATGTTAAGCTTAGTTCATACTTCACTTTCCTGTGTGCTGTCACGGCTCATATCACATCTGTACACACTACATTTGTGGACGCAGACAATCGTGAAGAGCATACGTGTACAGCAATAATATTCCAGCAGACCAGCAGAGGGCAGATGTATTGCAACAAACACATACACAAGCAGTGTAGTGATATGGAGGGTGAAGTAGTTACTAGGCTTGGGAGGTATTAGAGTAAAATAAAACACCATAGTATTTTGAAATCTGGAAACAAAATTAGCTGGGACATCCCCAAATTGTGTTGCTTTGGAAAATACCATCAAAACAGTACAGTATAAAGTAAAATTGTCAGCAAGCTAAATATTCAGAAATAGCAGATCTTTGTTTCTATGCCACTTTAAATAGAGATTTTCTACACTGCGTAAAGTTTCTACACTTGATTAATACAGGTTTTACACATGATTAATCGCTTATCAGAATAATCGTTTTTTTTACAGCTCTAGGGGGAACGATGAAAATGAAGCAAGGAGGGAGACTTTTTGGGGACATAAATGCCTTTTGAACAGCAGGGGGCAAGAGGGGTAACAAAGAGTTACAGGACAGGGGACAAACTCTAACGCAATTTCTCACTTGTGAGGATGCTAACAGGAGTCCCTGGCTTTGACCACGCTGTGCCATTGCTGACCACGAGGCTGACCGTGTAGCAGAGTCCGTGGTAGGAGGCGTTGAAGACCAGAGGATGGGGTGCAGCTCCGCTGGGGTTGTCAAACTGCAGGAAGTGGGTCTTGGGCTCGCCAGACACTATTACTGCGTATGCAGTGGTGTCTTCCCTCACGTCCGAGGCCTCCAAGGATATGAGGATGCTGCCTTCATCTCTGACGATGACGAGGAGGGAGGCAGCGCTCTACGGAGGAAGAATGGAAGAGCTTTAAGTAGGGCTGCACAATACTGGGGAAAAAATCCACATCATGATATTTGAAATTTCTGAGATAAATAATGCAATATTCATAAAGCAATAGTGTGTGTCAAATAAGTTGAAGGTGCTGTCACGACTTGTGCCAACAGACGAAACACAGTTCTGACACCACATGCTTTTGCTCAATATCGTCTCTGTGGAATACAAAATATTTCCATACAGCTGAAGGCTTTTAGTGACCAGTTCTTGTTCGCTTTTCTTCTCCTTACTCATTTTTGCTAAATTCCTCACAAACATGCCACACTATGAGCAAATCAAACAGCAAAAACAAAAGTGATTATGACTGGCTCGGGGAGCACGTGCAGAGTTTATGCAAAAGCAGCGGCGGTGAACTTGAGGCTGATTTTGTACTACATACTAGTATCTTGAAATCTTGAAAAGAAAAAAATCACGAAACTGCAAAGCTTGCCAAGCGTCGTTTCCTGCATTTTAACATTACTTACTGATTGTCTCAACCCATCTATCACGCTTATGCATACGATGAGATGGCAATATTAACATCAAACATCAAGCAGCTCTCATTTTAAGGTGTGCATTTCAGTGTCCGGGATAATGACACAAACCAGGGAAATTAAACCAAGTATACACCCGAGTATACACATTCACCTTTAATGCGACTGATTGGATAGTTCTTTAAAAATGTATCTTATTGAAAAACTAAATTTCGCGATCACTTTTCAGCCTGACAGACTGGCACAGGAAATAAGGGGAAGATACTGAGTGCACTGCTTAGGCTGAGTATAGATTCCAGTTTCTCTGCCACAGGAAGTAAACGGATACCGCATTAATTCATTTTTCCAGAAGTGCATATCCAGTTCAGGTTTAAGGCGAGTCTGGAGCCTACCCCTGGAAGGACGGGGTATGCCGACAGACACCCTGGATGGGATTCCAGTCAAATACAGGACGATTAATACACATTTACTAAGGGGAAATCAGACATACCCTAAAAGGGATTTCACTCCCGAGAGAAGCTGGAGTGAAAACCTATGTAAACATGTGGAGAACTGCCAAACTCCACAAACCCAAATCGAAATTTGAGTCCACAGCCTGGACGTGTGAGGCAGTGCACAGGGTCAATTAGGAAGTAAATAATAAATCCGAAGTACAGCACCTGGATGAGAGAAATCATCTGTATATCATCAATTATCTACTGCTCTGCCTGGACCAAATTCCCAAAAGGAACCAGGAAACAGGTGGTCTTGGCAGGAAGCAGACAGTAAGCGCAGGGGTCAGAGGTCAGTCCCACTTTTGAAATGTCATGCATGATTGAAAAATGGCAGGTGGCAAATCTGCGAGCAGAGAAATACCTTCGAAAGACCTCAGGGGAAGCAGCTAAAGCCTGCTCAGTGCATTTAATACCCCCACATCTTCTTTTTACTGCCTGAAGAACAAGAAGATTGTAAGCCTAATGCTGAATTCCTGAGGTGCATCATTTTTGTTTATCTGCCCCTAAAAATGCCATGGACATTCATTAAGGCTCACAATCCTTTACGAACCGCAAAATAACAAATAAAATGTCAAAGAGGCTAAATTATGTAGTATGGCCCAGTATGACTATTGAAGAACTATTCTCCATAGAGCTGGTACAGGTCGAAGACCACATAGAGTCTTAGCATTAGCTTCACCTCCAGCCCCCACCCCATTCATTAACCTGCACCTAGCTGTCAATAATCTGAGATGGATTTTTACCCCTAATGCCTACCCCCGACCCCACACCCTCTCTCCTCACCCTGATGCCCGATGTGTTTTCCTGCGAGTTTCCCCTTGCGATCGTCTTTTGATTTGTTTCTCCCCCACATTCTGCTAATGTGCTCTCAACTCACAGACCCCAAATAAAGTCCCTATTCTATCCTCGGCTCACGTGGTTCCGCCAGGCCATTCTGCTCGGAGGACATGCCGCATGCGCCATTTGACGAGATGCCATGTTCGGGGACGTCTTGGGATACCCTGAAGTGTCTAGGTTAAGCTGGATCAGGCCTCCCGGATGCTGGAAGCATTATAGTGTCAGTAGCAGCTCGTAACAGTAGTCAAGCACCAGAAAAGTCACGAGTGTCACCAGACACAGAATCCGGTAGCTGCAAGCTTGTGAGGGACTGCGAGGCTTTGCGATGACTCTTCTCTAAAGCCTACACAGGCACTGTGCACTCAATTCTAACAGGCGCAGTTCAGAGTTACTTTTAAGCTATGGCACTTTAATAAGAGGCTGTGAGAGTCATGGCTTCAGCCATATTCTTTTTTGAGGCTAACATCTGACCAAAAGCACTTCACCACGTCGCCCTGTCACCGTGAGACGCGTCCCAAGCCCAAATGGTGCCCCTCTCACGGCGATCGCATGACTTTTTCCCCGAGGTCCGTTCAGTCTTATTGCAACCCATCGCTTCAAAGATGTAGATATCGACACTCCAGTCCTGATGGTGCTCTGGCTCCCATGACCACCGTCTCCATGGCGACAGCGCACGGGGAAAAAGCGGGAAGCCCCGCTTTAATGCGATGCACGCCGGGGAAAAATCCCTTCGATCTCCTTCATAAAGCTCAGGATTTATTTTGTAGAAAGCAGAGAGACGCGGCCTGGGGGTTTCACAACGCGCCTGTGGTGACGCGCCATCATTCATACTGATCTGACCTGAGCTCCGAAAACTGCTCATTTCTCACCGTGTGAGAAAAAGTGCGCTGTCTCATTAAGCCGGGCTCCGTAGCACCATGTCACTAAACTAACCTGCCTCAGGTTGGGGGTGGGGGTGGATCAGAGTGTCATTCTTCCGTTTTCACACCGATGCAAGGGGGTTCTATAAATCCAAAGATGGGATTGGATCATGCTGATTTTAGTAGCTGTATTATTTCGTTGTTGGGGGAAGACACACAACATGAGCACGCATACCGGCCTCCACAAAATAAGATATATGAACTAGGTAGCAGCTATCAGGCAGTAACAAAGAATCTATCTATCTATCTAAAATAAATGAGATAAGTATCATAAAAGACTATGATGGGCAGCAGGGACAGCATGGCCGCCTCTCCATGTCTCTACTACTCCTCACGTCTTCTCCATTCCAGGCAATTAATTTAATTACTCAATCAGTCGGCGTCTCTGATCTGCAAAAGTCCTCCTCTGCGTCCCCTGGGTCCCAAGCTGGCTTTTCATGTGCACAGCTCTCTCATCATTAACGGGAGCTCGCGCTTACCGCTGAGGAGACGGACCCAGCTCGGCGAATCGGTAATGATTTGACGTGAAGCTATCTGTCAGGGGAAACCTTTGAAGATCCGCAAGCTTCTCCGTCGATTCCTTCCCAGGCGCCCTGACAGGCTGGGGCTGTGCATTGCCCTACAAATTCACAGAAACGCTCTAAGCAGCACAGGGGCTGGGATTCAGAGGCATCCTGGCTATGTTTTCACTAACATTTCAGGCTTATTTAGATACTGACTTTGATATCTTTAATATTCTAAACTGCCTTGCGTTACACCGGCATCACGTTCAAGGTGCTCTGTGATTCCTGAGACTCCAGACGCACTGGATACATATGGGAAATGGAAGGACTCGATATACTTAAATTTCCATTTTGATCTCATTTATTTCAGGATGAACATTTCTCATTTTCTTGCACAAAAAGCTAGCCCTTTGCTTTTAATAAGAAATGGATAATTTTACTCAAGTTTTGCCATCCAATCCAAAGATGTTTGTTACAGAAGCAGAACAAAACCGAAGAATCCCGATCGATTCTGCCGTCCCATCAGAACAGATGCCAGAGCAGGGGGAAAACGTCCTTACAGGAAATGCCGACGGACAAACACACATAAAAGTCGGCCGCTCAATAAGAGCTTCTGTTTGCTCTGAAGTCGAAGAAAGCTGTAAGATGGAGGCCGGCATTAACTCAAATCACAGCAGAGGTAAACGACAGGAAACAGAGCTGTTAACCAAAGTCAATTATGCACATGAAAGATGATAGATGTTCTACTCAAACTAAATAGAACACTCGGGTGAATAAAATTTAAGTGTCGAACTGCAGATTATACTAGTCATGAACAGAACATAACACAATAGACAAAGATATATAAGAAACTGTAATTTGTCATCGAGTTCCTACACGCAATGCAAATGTATGTGAGCCAGATATTTCATATGTAGCATCAGCAGCAGACTGCAGATTGAGAAACATCCATCTATCTAATTCCTGACCGCCGTTCCTGGCCTGCACTGTGTGCAGGTCCCCACTAAACCACCATCATATTCAGAAGCAAGCCTTTCAATTCAAGCCAGTTATACCACTCAAATTAACACGATAAGCAAGTTCTCAAATCGGATCACATTATCCACGATTCCCTCCTAAAGCCATCTTGTGACTGTAGAGCACCTTGTGATCTTAGCCCAAGGCTCAGTGACGTCCTTTAAAAGGGACCATATTGTCCATTTACCAATTACTGCGATTCAGCTCTCAGCGCTGCCTTCCAATAAATCCCACCCTGCTGGGGACACTTGCATCTGGTCTGCAAGATAACGCTTCATATTAACCCCAGGTAGGCCTGTCACGATGATATACGATATTCGACTTATTGAACGATTCATGGACATAACCTTGATAATTTTTCTGACCACAATATTGGCAAATTGCGTTTACATACGTGTTTACAAAGAATGCCACTAACTACCCTCTCATCCACTCTCGGTGTTAGATGTCTGCGCAGGATGGAATTTTAACTCCCAGGATACAGATTCTGTCAGGCACCTACCTGCTGGTCATAATTTGTTCTGCTCGCACCCAAACCTTTTAAGTCTGATCCTGCTCGCTCTCAGAGAAACCTTGATTGGTCATCGAGTTCCTACATGCAATGTAAACTCATGTCAGCCAGATATCTCATATATAGCATCAGCAGCAGACTGCAGATTGAGAAACATCCATCTATCTAATTTCTGACCGCAGTTCCTGGCCTGT